ATGACCTCATGATCTTAGTAACTCTAAACGGTCAAAAGGGTCAGACAGAACTTTGTAATTCTGAGGTAGCGATTTGGCTTGCCTTTGATGAATACCCTCTGTATCGAAGAGAAGTCGAGATATTATTAGCGACTGAAGGAGGTGAGGTCGCCCGGTGTCAGAGGTAAAATAGCGAAAAATTCGTGACTTCGAAAATTTGAGTGTCGTTGGAAACTTTCATTGTGCCTGTCATCGTTATTTTTCTGTAAAATTCACACAAAAATATTTTATAAATTTTAAATGGACATAAAAGGTGTTGAGGCAGCATTGTGGGGCGATGCATGTAGGGGTATTTATTGCATTAATAGGTACATTTCGCTTCCTTAGAGTTACAAAGTTGTATCTGGCATTTGGGCATTTTTGGGCCGTTTTAAGTTAATGTACTAAGATTTGAGGTCATAAACCAAATGTTATATCTGCTCTGGCAAAACTGTAAGATTATTCGGAGTCGTTATCAAGATATTCTAAGAATTGTATTCGGAAAAAAAACTTGACATGTTGTACCGAAATGAACAGAGTTTAAGATAGCAATAGCTCAAATTGCCACACAAGAACACAAAAAACCTGAAGAGCACCTGATTCCCACGTGACCACGTGACAAAATGTGGCCTTAAAAGTCTGAATAATCAAATCAAATGCACTCACCAAGACAATTCAAGTCATTTCCCGCTAACACTGACTTTTACTTTTATATTCTGTGATTATAATCGCCAATATCGTTTGCCCATGCTCAGCGTGTGATTGCAATGCTCGACATCTCTTGCTCTTTTTCGAAGACAAAGTTTGGTAGAAAAAAAAAGCAAAAAAAAGAAAGAAAAGAAAGAAAGAAAAAGACCCCCAAAAAGACAAAAAAAAAAAAAAAAAAAAAACAGGCTGCGCTCTCGTCTCACTGATGATTACCCCACTGACTTGAAAAATGTATTCCTGAATCTTTACTAGCGATGTTGTTTTTGTTTTGTTGTGTTTTGTTTCAGTCGTTCCCATGGGCCACTAGGTGTGTGGATTTTATAAAATTTAATATTCCGTCTCCACTAGCTTGTGCATGTGTATGTATGTGTGTGTGTGTGTGTGTGTGTGTGTATGTGTGTGTGTGTGTGTGTGT